AAATTATTTTATAGTTTAAATTATTTTAAATATATTATAAAATAATTATTCTTAAAATTAAGATAATACTTTTTATATTGAATTCTCATCTTTCATTTAAGAATTTATATTTTATAATTTAATATAATTCAAATTACAAAACATAAATAATTTAATGAAAAAATCTTATAATATTAAAAAACTCGTCTCTCATCTAATCATTTATATTACACAACTCAAATTATACAATAATTTTTCAATTCAAATAGTTCTTCAATAATTTCTTAAACCCTTCTCCGTTTACCTGGAGATTTGTACTTAGAAAATTTCAACATGATAGTTAAACCGTAGACCACTAAAATCCTCTTGTTGGAATAAAAGAAAAGAAACTAGCTTTCAACAAATGGTTTCTCATAATTATAGCTTTTTCCGTACGTTGTCCCATAGAAATTAGAAGGGACGCCAGGGATGGGACGGTAATGAATAGATATCATATCAGGGTAGCAGACCTGCACTAAGTGACGTTGGTGTGGAAATGGTAAGAATGATCGACGGTATATATTTCATCACGTGCAGTCGGGCATCAGTTTAAGTTGACCCGAACAGCCTCAGAAATATGTCAAGGCTTACTTCTTTTTGCACAGTAAATCAAAGTCAAAACACATTTAAGGAGAGAAGGAAAGCAGCAATAATCAAAGGTAAGGTCGGTATAGTTTCTGAAAAGGCGTTTTCTGCTACAGAAACTGAAGCTGAACCAAACACATTTTTTTAAAAATTATAGAAAAGGCTAGAAATTAACACTACAGACCTATAATTACTTGGAATAAAGATTTTGCTGTTAACTTTTGAATTTTATAATTTTTATTAATTTTTAAAAATTATATTGTTTTAGTATATTATTGATTCATGAATTAGTATTTAAGATTGCCAAAAATCACGATGTATTAACAATTAAAATATTAATAATAAAAAAATTTTATATACTCTTAAAAAATTATTATACAAAAAATTTATTAAAGTTATTTAAATAATTTTACTAATAATTTTGATATTTATAATAGTATAACATTCTAATTTATACTTTTT